CAGCATAATCCTGCAGCGGCTGGAGCGCTGTTTTTCAGCACTAGACCGGGGCTTGATGTATTGCGATGTTGTACACGATTTATGTTATAAGAGCAGAGGAAGGCCGATAAAGAGATGGATGGACTATGTGAAAGATGATATGGTAAGAAAGGGAGTTGTTACGGAAGGACTGTATTAAGGCTGGTTAAAAATGAGACACGTTCTTAGGTGAGGTATAATAAGTATAATCAGCTCGCTAGCAAAAATATAAAGACACTATGGCATAAGAAAACAAACGGAATATAAAAACAGAACGTCAAAATATATATATAAAAAATAAAAAACTATCAATTCAAAGGCCATTGCCATCGGCAACAGGCTTGTGAATGACGAGATGACTGCGAACATAGAATGAATGGAAGATAAAAGAGAAAAACATTACGTCGACCACAAATACCTATATGGGATAAATATAAAAGCAGACGCTGCTCATTCTATTCTATTCTATCTATATGTCATATTGTTTAAACCTGATCGAGGATTTGAGGGATGGTTGACAGATATTTATTATATTTATGAACAAAAATGCAATATTGCGGTAATGTCTCTGTTAATGAAAAGGAGATGGACGAATATGGAAAAAAAAATGTCTTTGTTAATTTTGAATTTTATTCTTTTTCAACTTTCTTTTTTATTATGTCTTGCGAACATGGCAACGCACGTTTGTAGGCTGCCAGTTACATTTACTTTTTCTATAGAAATTATACAATATAGACTAAAATATATATTAGAAAAATTACCATATATATAATTAATAATAATTATACATCAACGGCTTCTCTCGAATTAATATAGGAACTATTTTAAATTACGTTACAACCAATTAACACTTTCATAACTAGTACAAAGATTGTATATTAAGTTTTAATATTGTTCCGTAATATTAAACCGAAATTGTGGATAGCATTCTCGATTAATCATTTCCACGACGCTGTTGTTCCTATAATATAATAATACTATCTTTTGCCCGCGGCTTCGCTAATTTATCCCCTTAGGGATGGAATTTATCAAAATCCTTTCTTAGGAAATGCCTACATAATAGTAGCTTTATGCATCCAAAGTCTCAGCCGGATAGGTTTGAAATTGACAAACTTTCATCCCCTATTTTATCCCTTTGGGGGTAGAATTAATCAAAATCCTTTCTTAGCGGATGCCTATGTCATAACATCTACCTGCATGCCAAATTTCAGCCCGATCCGTCTAGTGGTTTGGGCTGTGCGTTGATAGATTACTATGTCAGTCGCCTTTGAGTTATATATATTTAGAATGTCCTATATGGAAATTAAAATGAACAGTCATCCTTACTAATATTATCTTGCTTTTACTTTCAGGACAAAGCTACAAGCGATTTCAATGTAGTTTGGTACATAGACTAGACTCCGAGGAAGCACATAGGCAACTTTTTAATGTGAAAAAAGGGTTGTAAATGAAGTAACTTCTTTCTTGTTAGATTATTGAATATTTTTTCGTTATTTGGTTGGATATAGTTGCGAGTACAGTTATAAATAATATAAATATTTATCTCCCTTACATAATATTGAAAACAGCGTTTTGAATGATTGCAAGTGGTAAAACATTGGTTTACATTCTTGAGTTCGAATTTGGTCGACGCCTAAAAACATTTCGCAGGAATCAATAATAATCTATATAAATAAATAAAATTGGAGTATCTGTTTGTAATTTTATATTTAAAACTTTATATATTAAAATAATAATATGATTATGATTATCTCTGAACAATTCACACAGCGCCATCTAGACAGTAGTTAAGCTAGCTGAAGCTTATGTACCGGGTACTAGACAACTGATACAAATACATAGATATGTTTTTTTCTTAAATAAATATGTACATATTATACATAGAAAACACCCAGACCAAACAAACAATCATACACATGAATACAAATGTTTGTGCCGTGCGAGAAATCGAACCCACCACCATCGGAAGTAACACGGTGTGCTAAACCGCTAGACCATCGAGGCTATCAATATATGAAAGTATGTACATACATAAAAAAATATTTTCAATATTTTTGTATATATATATATATATATATATATATATCTTATCGTAGATGCTCCGCTAGCGTTTTCCTTTAGCGAAACTCTACATTCAAAACAAAATGCTGCGACTATCCCCTCTGGGATTACAGTCGTGAAGTTATTATTAAATGAAACCCAAGATAAAATCTAGACCTACAAAATTGTTTACGACACTATATTCAGTAAACTTTACGAGCTCTCATAAGCCTCAATTCTCGTCAAATTTGACGTTTTATGTACACGGCAGTTGTTACAAGATCATTGTCTGTAGCAATTGTTATGCAAAGACAACATTATTTATTTATATTATGTATATAAATTTTACCATCGCACCGCTCGGCATCGACAGGGAATTCATCCCCACACGCTGGAACCTAAGTGGTCCCGAACAGTGCGGTTTCAGAGGAGTTTCCTCCCGCGTACACTTAGATTGTGGAATGAACTTCCTGCCGAGGTTTTCCCACGAGACTACAGCATGGGGTTTTTCAAGAAGGGTATATTAAGGTTTCTTAAGGGTCGGTAAACGCACGTGATACACGTTAGACGTTATACACCCCCTTGGTGTTTCAGGCGTTCATAGGCTACGGTAACCATTTACCATCAGATGGGCCGTATGCTTAATTGCCACAATCGTAGTATAATAAAAAAATATATAGCACAGAAACGTGGTCGCCAAATATGAGCTTCATAAATAAGCTCAGATCACTCAGAGGGCTATGCTCGATCGTATCAGATCAGAAATGACGAGATCCGCATAAGAACCAGAGTGACCGACATAGCCCGAAGAATTGCGAACCTGAAGTGGCAATGGGTAGGGCACATAGCTCGTAGGACAGATAGCCGTTGAGGCAATAAAGTCCTCGAGTGGCGCCGCGGACCGGAAGACGCAGCGTGGGAAGGCCTCCAGCAAAGTGGACCGACGATCTGGTCAATGATCGCTGGAAGGCATTGGGTGCGAGCAGCGCAGGACCGATCGCCGTTTTGGGACTTAGTTTCGGTGGCCTTAGTTCTGCAGTGGACGTCTTCCAGGTGGAAATGATGATGATACTTTGCATATGATTTAGCAGTTATATTACAGAAATCAAAATCAGTGGAGTAGTAGGATACAAAAGGCGGTCTTATCGGTTATGAAATCTCTTCTAGATAACTTTTGGGAAAAGGAGAATTGAAAAATTGAAACAACCTTGAAAAAAGTCTGATTGTAACATTACTCTGAAATATATTTTTAATAATTTTAATTTCATTTATTTAAATAATAAAAAGGTATATATTTTCCTCAGGGAAGGGAAGCGGAAGATTTTAAATCTCACGATCTCGCCCGTCATGCTCTGATAGGTATACCATCAGGTTGACAACACGCCTCCTTTGGCCCATATTTCTGGCGAAACGGTCGCCTGAGCAGCCAGCCACTGCTCAGGAAATGGTCCAGTGCTTTACCGTCACAGGAGCACGGCGAGGAGCGCGAAGGTCTCTTCGGAGAAGGTAGTCGGCCATGCTGACGGGGTAAGGCACTGTGGAAGTTCTCTAGCCGCAGTTGTCCGAACTCCCGATGTCGCGCAAAGACGCCACCTTTCTGCTCCTAGATCCACTCGAGAAGATCCTGGTGCCATTGCGGCATCCCCATTTGCGGGCTCCGAGGAGGGTGGGACATCGAGTTAAACGACTTTTAAATATTCTCACAATATGGACATCATCGATGACATTGAGAAACTTTTTGAAGGCCATTACCTTGGACGAAAATGAACGCCAAGAACTTTCATCCGATGACGGAAACTGTTTGGAGATGGTTGTTGAGCCTACAGGGACGGATGACCTAGGTCTAACGCCCAAAAAGGACTCAAAGCCAAAACCAAAACGAAGGAGGTTAACAGGAGCAGCGCGGAAACGCCTAAAACTGTTAATAGCCGCCAACATCAAGGCAATGAGAATGCCGACCATCTGGCAAAGTTAGGGGCAAAAACCGTCCAACTGGGCCCCGAACCCTTCTGTGGTGTGCCTCGTTGCCTAAAACTGGGACATCTCAAATTAATAACCAAACGAGAAGCACTGAATCACTGGCAAGAAATGCCAGGATTAATACATTCAAAAGACCTTATATCGGGCTTCTCGACCAAATACTCCAATAGATTACTGCAATTGAGTAAAAACAACATATGCATGATGACTAGGGCCCTCACAGGACACTGCAAATTGAACAAGCATATGGCTAAGCTAGGCCTATGCACGACAAGTATCTGCAGATTCTGCCAAACTGAAGAGGAAACGCCGCTTCACATCCTATGTGGTTGTAGCCCACTCATGCATAAACGAAATATCTCCTTTGGAAAGTTTACACTCTTTCCCGAGGAGATAAAAACGATTGCTCCTAAGAATATCCTTCAATTCTTGTCCCTGACGGGTCTAGGTAGCGAACTCTGAAAAGGGCGAGCACAATAGATCTATGTAGGTCGCAGTGCTACAGGTGCTACACATCTGACAATGTAGCCCAAACAACCCAATAAAAAAAATAAAAAAAATACCATCAGGTTTTTAGCCAGTAGAAGTCCGGCAGTATCGTTTCTTCCTCTATACCGAACATGTCTCCATGACTGAATATTCTGATATAAACTGACGGCCTCGTTGGTCCAGTGACACAACGCTTCCTACTACCGATGCTCGTAGGTTCGAACTCATGCAAATTTTTTTATTCATGAGTATGATTGTTTGTACGCGGTGATGTCTATGTATTTGCAAAAGGAAATATCTAACTAAGATATTTCTTTTTAACAATACATAGAAAAAAATATATCAGTTGCCTAGTGCCCATAACATAAGCTCTGCTTCCCATGGGACTAGATGGCGCTGTGTTAATTGTCCAAGTTTCTTTATTATACCTCTCTACAATTAGCGTCTATTCACGACTATAATTTTTGTTCCAGGTGCCATTATTTTCGGTTCAGATCAAGAAGTGGCTGGAGTTATATATATATATATATATATATGCATTCAGCTGGGTCGGATCTGACGGCTGGAGCGCTAGATCCCTGGTATCGGATGGGAACGAACGAGCTGTGGAGGGAACAATCAGTGTCCAACCCCAGGCCCATGACGTCAAAGGATTTACCGACTACTTTCTGTCGTTAAACGTGAAGAATAATAAGAGGAATCCATGGTTTGTCGGTACGTTACATAAATAATAATAACTATTGTAAGACCGAGATTTATGTATAGTAGATATCTGCGCCTTAAGACTCATCTAAACGTACTGGTCTTACCTCATTTGATGGTAAATGTAGCGCGCTTACCTAGAAGAAATCTATTCACCTAGACTTAAAGAATTAAGAAGGTGTTCTATTTCTCTGGGTACACAAAGACTGGAAGCGTGTTCCAGTCTTTGGCAATGCGTATTAGAAAGGGCGACGCGAACCGCTTGTTGTCGATGGCGTTGTGAATGAAACTACGTTAGTTGGTAGTAATGCAATAGAATATTATTTATTCAAATAAACTTACATTCATGCACATTTGGATAGTCATTACTTATTTTTTTATAAATTACCACTCATTCGGAAAGCTGTCTCATCACAAGAAGAACGAGAAAGAAACTTCCGTGTTGGTATTTTAATAATTTAGTTGTAACTTTACATTTTTAAGTTGAAATGTGTGAATACAAATTAGTAAATTAAGAATGGACATAGACCCCAATACAAATCATACTCGTGGGTACAAATGTCTATACAATACGAGGACCCGAAAAATGAACAGGGGACCATTAAATATGAGGCCGTGTGCTAAACTACTAAACCATCGAGGCCGTGAAATACGTCACTTGGTATTATAACTATTTATAAATAGAGAAATAGTGACATAATAAAATATCAAAGTTATGAAAGAAAATCACGTTCGAGGAAAATAAGAAAACTGAATTGTAAGATTGTAGGAAAAAAACGTATTCAATCAACCACTGTAAGACGTCTTTTTGTTGCTTTTCTATTATTAAATTGTAAGAATCTTTATATAGTATATAATAATATAATATGATTTAGAACTAACACGTAAACTATATAAGACATTTTATATATTGAAACATTATATCTTTGAGTTATATATATATATATATATATATATAATTCAAAGGTGACCGACGTAGTGATCTATCAACGCACAGCTCAAACCACTGGACGGATCGGGCTGAAATTTGGCATGCAGGTAGATGTTATGACGTAGGCATCCGCTAAGAAGAGATTATTTCTACCCCCAAGGCGATAAAATGAAATGATGAAAGTTTGTATGAAACTTTGTCAATTTTAAACCGATCGGGCTGAGACTTTGCATGCATAACGCTACTATGACGTAGGCATACCCTAAGAAAGGATTTTGAAAAATTTCACCCCTAAGGGGATAAATTAACGCGAGCGAAGCCGCGGGCAAAAGCTAGTCGTTACTAAGGTAGTGACGATTAAATGTTTTTTCTCAGATACACTGACTGTTTAAGCAATTAGATTTTAAGCAATTAGATTGCTTAAAAAGTCAGTGTCAGTCAGACAGTCAGTCAGTCAGTCAGTTTTATCATTTTCAAAAGTTATATTAAGTTTAATTGAATAAAGATTATTTAGATATCTAGACAGACAGACAAAACAGTTCTATTTGTATTCTATTATATTTTACTCTATAACGTTCTTGACTTTTCAATTATTATTAAATATTTTTCTAACTATACCTGTGGTTTCACCCGTGCCAAATTTTTAGCCCATGTGTTATTGAGATGTATAAGCTAAGCTACATTACTGTAAAGTTTCATAAAAATCCGTTCAGTAGTTTTTGCGTAAAAGAGTAACAAACATCCACCCATCTATCCATCCAAATACATAACCTTTCGCGTTTATAATTACTAAAACTTATATATGCGCATGTAACATTAAAGAATTTTTGTGTAAGAAAGCCTATTACAGGATAGACGAACTCATAGACGACAACATATAAGTAAATAATTAGTTTATTAGCATACAACGTTATAATTTATTTATCTCATTGCTTTCTTGATTCAATTATTTTAGATAAATGAAAGCGTATCGGGTTTTGTATTAATTGCCGAATGCATTCTTATGTGAAATGTGAATACTATAAACATCAGATGGCAATTGTGAGTAGCTATGACGTGGTCTGGTGTTTTGAGTAGTTATGCTCACTAAAATGTGATACTTGTGGCGGCGTGGTGGGCCGGGTCATTGGGTTCTCTAAAATATGGTCAAGCGCAGTGATGGCTCATCCGTCATACTCGTGAACGGGTTCTGCTTGTAGAGACTGGTCTGCTCTAATTACTATGACTGATTTCCTCTTATTAATTGTTTAACAAGTTAGTTATATATTATATATTTTTTCTATTTGAGTATTTAATTGAATTAGTGCTAATTGGTGGTTTGTATTCACACAGTTCAACTTAAAAATGTAAAGTAATAATAAAATTATTAAAATTAGCAACAGAAGCTTATTTGCTCGTTCTTCTTGTGATGAGACAGCTATCCGAATGAGCGGTAGATTAAAAAAATGTGATGACTATTCTAAAGTGCTTCAATGTAAGTTTATTTGAATAAACGATTTTCTATTCTATTCTATTCTTTCATGAAAGAGTAACAAACTTCCATCAATACTCGCAAACTTTCGCGTTTATAAGCTTAGTAACTCTATAATAATGTCTTTGCTCCATTGTCATTATCCATATGTATCCATTGTTATTATTTATAATTTTGTTTCTAGAATTTTGGGAGTACCACTTCCAATGCCGCTACCCGGGGAGTCCTAGGACTCCGTACAATTGGCAGTACGAGCGCTACTGTTCCGGAGCTGAGAGACTGACCATAGACAATACAGAATTCGAGAGGCAGCTCCAATTCGTCTCTGACGCTGTCATGGCCTTCGCTTATTCTATAAGGTAAGTTTTTAAATAGAAGTGTTATACGTCTGACGTTTTTATGTGACTATGTGTGTAGCTCCTAAACAAACGGAATATACTCTATTCTCCCAAATCTATATATATAACTCAAAGGTAACTGACATAGTGATCTATCAACGCACAGCCCAAACCACTGGACGGATCGGGCTGAAATTTGGCATGCAGGTACGCAACAACGTCTACACAGACCAAACCGCGGGTAACATAAAGAAAAAGAAAGAAAGAAAGAAAGAAATAAAGAAAGAAAATAATAGAAAGAAAGAAAGAAAGAAAGAAAGAAAGAAAGAAAGAAATAAAAAAAAGAAAAACCGCGGGTAACATAAAGAAAAAGAAAGAAAATTGTTTATTTGGTACACTGAAAATAATTTTTAAATTTTAATTTACATTTTTATATTAATAATTACAGTACCAAATAGGTCTCCGGTCAGCATATGTCGTGACGGGGTGCCACGACACTGGTTTTCAGCGGATACCTTCATATATAATAGAAATAGAAATAGAAATAATCTTTATTCAAATAAACTCATTACAAGCACTTTTGAACAGTCATATTTTGATTCTACCACTCATTCGGAATGCAGATTCATCCCAAGAAGAACGAGCAAGAAACTTGTGTGTTGCTCTTTTTAATAGATGTTTTTTTTTTTATATAAATAATTACAGTATAACAAGTAAGAGGCATGCGATAAACAACATAAAAATCGCACTCATTATTAGTGTAATTAGATAATATTGTCAGTGCTATAGATTTAAAGTTTTTCTATAACAACATTATTATCGTTAAGGAGTTCTTAAATTTTATAGTAAGCTTTTTTGCAAAGGAACTGAATAAATATAATAAAATAATAATAATAATACACATACATAGGAGCCATTCAAGTATTACGTAAGCAGATTTATTACAATTATTAACTCCCCCCGCACCCCATCCTCCTTATCAGCAAAAGTAAGCAAAGCATTTGCCCCATCCTCCCATGCTTACGTAAACATTTTTCAATTAATGTATTGCTTTTATTTAGAAAAGTCAATGTGCCATTCCTGTAAAAAAGTAAATAAATACCAATGACATAATCATCATCTAGACTCCCCTATCCTCCATGTAATCCAGTCATCCAAAATAAGTAAAGAACCCCCCCACCCCCCCCTCCCTTTAGTGCTTACGTAATACTTGGACGGCCCCATACATAAATCTAGGCGGTAACATGTTTATCAACATACATAAGCCGTAACAACCTTGAACATGTCCTAGATTTAAGAGTGATTAATGTGACCAGGGGTAGGGATAGGGTTCGATCCCTAGTTTGTTTGAATTGACATATCAAATCTAATGTTGTAAACTCAATTATTTGTTTAATATATCCCTGTCGACCTAATCGTATTAGTTATAGTATACTAGCATAGGAATAATATAACTACAGTGTATCTACGTTATATATAGTGCGGGTGTGCTACATTTAAATTAATACAGTTATTAATGATTTAATGATAATAATAATAACACACATATACACACACTGTAGCATCAGGTGCAGGAAAAAAAATTATTATTATTATTATTATTTCTATCTTCATCACATAACTCATGACAGATATAATAAATATATATATAATAATAATAATAATTTTATAATTGCTTCTTTAAGTTAATACAGTTATTAATGATTTAATAATAATAATAATAATAAAACAATAATAATAATAATAATATGTTAAGTTGCTACAATTATACATCAATATATAGCACATAAACATAAATACATAGAAAGCAAAGTTTCATATTACAAATACAGCCCTATTAATGTATTAGAAAATGATCACTGTAAAGATATAGAACAATAATTATGACAAAACTGTACATCACAACACACAATATATAAAGTATATCTTGTAGTCAAACACAAAAATATACAAAGTACACAGATCTAGTCATAGAATTAAAAAAACAATGGAAAGCACACACCATCCACATAGTACCCATAGTTTTGTCATCCACTGGTATTATACCAAAAAGTCTGAACAAACACTTAGACACGTTGCACATCCCCTCCTCTACAATAGACCTATTACAAAAAGCCGTCATACTAAACACATGCCGAATAGTCAGAAAATTTCTTTCTTCATCACATAACTCATCCATGCTTGGCTAAGGCCCGCGTGTTTGAATATATTACCCCCGTAAAAAGGGAGATATAATAAATATATATATATATATATATATATATATATATATATATATAATAATAATAATAATATAATAATAATAAGGGCCCTGAACCCCGGCCGACTGTGCTTTTTTTTGGAAGTTAGGAATAATAATATTAATAAAATCATTCCAATCGTTATGTCGGTAAACGGTCTTATCCCAACCAGTCTGGAACAACATCTCAGACGGTTGGTCTTCCGGGGCGGTCACTCCCGGGAAAGATGCAGAAAGCGGTGCTCTTAGATTCTGCCCGCATTGTACGCCGGTTTCTCTCCCTGGGGCCCTGAACCCCAGCCGACTGTGCTTCTGCCGCGGGTATGTTGCCATCTCCTCTCCTTAAGAGGGCAGATGAGAATTTTGGGAAAAAAAAATAATAGTAATGTTTATTTGTCTCAAACAGAAACTTTTTACACAATACAACTATTGCCCATAGAATAATATAATTTAAAAACTAATGAATGAGACAAAACGGTCTATAACTCAGTGGGGGCAGTGAGTCCACCCTCTCTGCTATTCTGTTATAGCCTTTATCAGTAAAATACAATGTGAGATCGACGACGACGATAACATATTAAGTTTTAAACTTCAACTAACAAAACAAACATAAAAATTGACAATAACAAACTTAAATATATATAATCTAAACATTATTCAGGATTAGTTACAACATTAAATAAAATATAAGAATATATTATGAATGTGGTCCGTCCTGTCCCGTCCCCGTCCTGCTCCGAAGATATTGAGTTACTAGTCACTTACTATGATTGGCTAATATAATAATAATAGACGATCTGAAATTAAATAAACTAATTTATTTATTTACTTATTTATTTAATTAACACAATATAAACTTACAGCTAATTGCCAACACGTTTATATTTTAAAACTATTTATACTACTTAAAATTATACGATGATAAAAATATTCTTATTTTAGTAATTATGGAAGGCAAGGCTTCTGTATATACGTCAGCATCTTGAACCTTACCTAAAAATAAATTTAATAATTGCAATGCTCTCATAGTGGGAGAATTGCTAGCGTGGCTTGTGTACCGACGCGGTTACAAACAGTCGGACACGACGACGGGTGACACTTCTCACGTAATTCGGTGGGATATTGAATCCTATACGTTCTACAACAAAAAGCTGTCCACTACAAAAGGCTGTTAGTCAATCAATCTTAGATACATGTGCAATAGTCGCTTCCTAAATGTCACAGAATAAACCATCAAGCAAAATAAATAAGGAGAGACTTGGCATCCTGTCCTCGGTACTAATCACCAGCTTAAGCTGTGAAAAACAGATAACTATAATAATAAGTTCGCAACTTTAGATTCTTCCTCTTAAAAAATATCCATCCTCATCATTCAGCATTTATAGTCTATTATCAATGAGAGATATATAATATATCATCATCATCATCTACTTCTTCCTTATCCCATTTATTTGGGGTCGGCGTAATATGTTTTTCGCTTCCATTCATCCCTGTTCGCAGTCATCGCGTTATTTACCTCCTTTCTTACCATATCATCTTTCACACAGTCCATCCATCTCTTTTCATTCTCGGCCTTCCTATACCCTTATAACCATCCACATTCATATGTAACACCTTTCTTAAAATATTATCCTCGTTCCTACGCATTACATGTTCATACCATGATAGACGATTACTCTTCAACTTCACTGACACCGGCGCCACTTTCATACTTCCTCTAATGTATTCATTCTTTATCTTATCCATTCTTGTCACACCACACATCCACCTCAACATTCTCATTTCAGTTGCATGCAGTCGTCTTTCATCCGTCGCCTTTACGGGCCAGCACTCTGATCCATACAAGACAGCAGGCCGGATCATGGTCTTGTAAATTTTCCCCTTAAGCTTAAAGGGAACACGCGAGTCACACAGATATATAATATATCTTATATATAAAATTCTCGTGTCACAGTTTTCGTTCCCATACTCCTCCGAAACGGCTAGACCGATTGTCATGAAATTTTGTGAGCGTATTGAGTAGGTCTGAGAATCCAACATCTATTTTTCATCCCCCTAAATGTTAGGGGTAGTCCACCCCTAATTTGCAGGGACAGCTAGTATATTACAAATAAATACATACATATTATACACAGAAAACGCCCAGACCAATAAAAATAATAATACTAATGAATACAAAAGTTTGTACCGTGCGAGGAATCGAACCCGCGGATATAAGGCGGTGTGCTAAACCACTAAACCATTGAGTCCATCAAATTCATATATACATTGCAAAACATTTTTATCTAAAAATATTTATTGGTTTGCATTAAAGTTATTAGAAATACTATTATAATTGACTCAAAACTGATATACATTACCTCGCTACACGGAGCGTGCAACTCCCAACGCCTTTCCAATAAGGCCAAATCCGGGGTAATCCAGATAGATGGCAACCCCATCCAAACCCGGGCAGTTTCGAATTACAGTTTGTTATACGACATCGCTTCTCGACCCAAACACCCGATTTTTATCGTAACCCCATAAAAAATTTAATATTAATTCCTCGTACCCGTCACTGAAGCTATGTTTTACAGTTATTTCCTCAAGTTTTGAACGTATTAATAATGGCTTTTTTATCTCTTTCCCTCACTTTGACATTGATCAATGGAAAATGGCGTATGGGTTATGGAAGAGCGTATGCATACCATCGCGCCACTTTGCTGATTTTGCAAGGAAAGTTTACGCATTGTGAATTTTAACTCAATTTATGTTTTTAGTTTTTTTTATAACAAATATACAT